CCGTCCCCCCGACACTTCAGCTCCAACACCCGAATTCCAGTATTCCCCCCACCCCCGCAGCTTCATTCCAGGTTATCTATACATTCTCTTTAATTTTTTTTTTAAATGTTCATTTGTTTTTGAGAGAGACACACACACATACAGAGTGCAAGTGGGGGACAGTCAGAGAAAGAGGGAGACACAGAACCTAAGGCAGGCTCCGTGCTGACACGGGGCTCGAACTCACGAACCACGAGATCATGACCTGAGCTGAAGTCGGAGGCTTAACCAACTGAGCCACCCAGGCGCCCCTAGACGTTCCCTTTCTTCAGCAGGGATCCCCAGACAAGAAGGCCATGGGCCTCATGCCTCTTTGTGTCTATAGCCCAGCTCATACCCTCACACCTGCAGCCTATCCTGCACCAGGAGGCTGACATCTTTTCCAACATCCGCTGATGACTTAGTTTAACACCAGCCGGAGCATCTGAAGACCCACGTTTTTATCAGGCCATTTTTTTTTTAATTTTTTTTTCAATGTTTATTCATTTTTGGGACAGAGAGAGACAGAGCATGAACGGGGGAGGGGCAGAGAGAGAGGGAGACACAGAATCGGAAACAGGCTCCAGGCTCTGAGCCATCAGCCCAGAGCCCGACGCGGGGCTCGAACTCCCGGACCGCGAGATCATGACCTGGCTGAAGTCGGACGCCTAACCGACTGCGCCACCCAGGCGCCCCTATCAGGCCATTTTTAAAAACGTAGGCTTTCCTCCCTTCTTATGAAAGCAACAATCTCATGGAAAAGATACAGAAATATAGACTTTTCAAGAGTTGCCCATAGACCGAGGAACTGCTATTCACCCAGAGCCCAGTAAGCTGGCACAGTTCCAGCTCCTTCTGCTCATCCGCGTGTTCTGCGTGGTTTTCACCACACTACGTGGACAATTTCGTAGCCCCTCCACCCCACAAGAAGACAGAGCGCCCTCACCTTGGTTAATCTCAGGGATGTCCTTGTCCCAGGATGTCTGGGTCCCCTCGGGGTTGAGGCCCTCCGAGAAGCTGGTTCCATAGGCTTCTGAGCAGCTGGAGGCTGAGGGTGCTCCTAGGATCAAACCTGGCCCAGACGGGCACATACCCATGATGCCCGAAGTGCCCTCATTGGCGAGAGAGGACAACAAGGCCTGGGGGGTGGGGGCTGGGTAGTATCAGACCACAACAGCCAGGCCCTTCGCGAAGGCAGACCCCCAGAAAGTAGTCCTGGGAGACTGCCTGGCCTCCCCTCAGTGCAAGCTGATGGCAAGGCCTAGACAACTTGGAGGAAGGAGCTTCTTTAAGGGGCCCAACACTGGGTTCCAAAAAGCAGCCCCAGGCTCTGAATAGCTGTGTATATGAGATAGGGGAGGAAGCAAAAGAGAGAGGCGGGACCAGACCTCAGGCTCTAACAGTGAGGGTGAGCCCGGGCTAGCTGCCCCGGCCCCATGCCTCCCTTCTCAGCCCAGGCCTCTGGAAATCAGACTCAGATCGAGCAAGCCTGGCATGACCAGCAAAACAAGGATGCCTGAGGGCTACACCTGCTACCTCCTGCCAGGCAGGCCCTCTGCTTTCAGGATCTTCAGGATGCCTCCGCTTGGTGCCCCCTAGGAACTGATTTCTGGGAACATCCCTGGAGAGCCCATTTTCTGCGCCGTTCAGATCCCTGCAGGCTCCAGCCACACCCTTCTTGCCTCTACTCAGCACTCTGCAGGCTAGCAGCCCACTTACCTGGCAAAGAGACCAGACCCAGCACCCAAGGCCAGAGGCCTCCCATATTCATGCTC